TGCTGAGGGAGTGCCGCACTGTTGGCGGGTCAGTGCTGAGGGAGTGCTGCACTGTTGAATGAAGTTCATCTTTTGGATGAGGCATTCAATTGAGACTCTGTGTTCTCAGGGGTCTAAAGGTGTCAGAGCCCCTATTTTGCAGAAGGACCAGAGTCTTTTTCTTGGTGTTCTGGATGAATATTTATCCCCCAGCCAATTAAACCACATAATCTGATCAGCATCACTTTGTATTTTTTGGAAATTTTGTGTGATCTTGCCTTTTTAACTGATTAGAGGTGGTGGCTTTGGAAGCTGCTGTTGAAGGAGCCTAGGTGAGTTGCTGCAGTGTATCTTCTAGATGATAAACACCTACTACTGACTGTTTAATGGCTGAGGGAATGAATGTTGATGATGATGAGATGCCAGTCAAACAGACTTCTTTGCTCTGAATGGTGTTAAGCTTCTTGAGTGTTGTTGGAGATGCACTCATCCAGGCTGGTAGGGAGTATTTCATCACATGCCTGACTTGTGCCTTATAGACGGTGGACAAGGTGTTGGGGAAACAGCAGATGTGTTCCTGACTGCAGGATTCCTAGACTCCAACTTGATTTTGTAGCCACTGTATTTATGTGTTTCAGAGTTCAGAAGTCATATCAAACTCATAATGTGAACTCTTTCTTTCTCCACAGATGCTGCCAACCTTGCTGAGTTTCTCCAGTATTCTCTCTTTGTTACAATACTTTATATGGTTAGCTCAGTTCAGTTTATAGTCAATGATAACCCCAGGATGTTGCTGGTGAGGGATTCAGTGATTGTAATGCCATTGAATGTCAAGAAAATAATGGTTATGTTCTCTCTTGTTAGAGAGAGTAATTGCCTGGCATTTGTGTGGTGTGACTGTTACTTGCTACTTATCAGCCCAAGCCTGGATATTGTCCAAATCTTGCTTCACTAACTGAGCAGTTATGAATGGTGTCAAAGATCGTTAAGGAAATACCCACTTCTGACCTTATGTTGGAGGGAAGGCCATTGATGAAGCAGCTGAAGATAGTTGGGCCTACGACACTACCCTGAGGAACTCCTGCAGAGCTGCAATGACTGACCTTCAATAACCATAACCATCTTTCACTGCACCTATGGAGAGTTTTCCTCCTGATTGACATTCCTATTGGCATTTTCCTTGGGCTGCTTGATGCCATATTTGGGGAAATGTTGCCTAGATGGCCACTGCCCCACTTCCCCTCCACAACGAATAAGTCGAGGTTTTGATAGAGTATGAAGTTAGCAATTCCTTCACCCACACTCAGGGCTAGTGGTGGAATCTGGACCTATTCTCACTTCCTCCAGCTGCCCTCTCTGCCACCCAGAGAACAGAGCAGAATGTCCCTGAAATGCCACCTTCCATGGGTACTGTGTGGCTCGGTACTGTGTGGCTCAGTGCTGAGCACTGACAGACCATAATCACACTGGACAGCAAGCGTAAGTGGTGCCGACAGGAAGCGTAAGTGGTACCTACATCAATCTCAGCAGTCAGCAGCCTGCAATTTCCTCAATCCTGAAGGTATCCCTAACCTCACCTGAGTCTTGTACCTTTCTCCCTCTGAAGATAATGCACCTTTTCGGGGCAGTGTTATACAGGTGTTCTTGCCCTTACATAACTTACTCATGGCTGGGTGCTATGGGGGCGTCGGTTTGATTTGATGATGCACTGTGCAGAGCTTAACAGGGACAGCTACTGTCACTTTATAACGCAGGGGGCTCAGGTGGGACATCCTGTCCCAAGACTGCAATCAACTCCCCCTCCCCACCCCAAACACAGCACAGACCCGAGCAAGGGCAGCCCAGATCACCCCACGGCAGATTATTGTCTAACTGATCAATGGTTGAGGATTATTGAAGGATTAGAAACATTAAATATTCCTAACCAGGGAACTTCACCTGATTTCTGCCCTGACACCGAGCCCTGACAGTTAGTGCGGAGAAAGCTTTGTGTGAGTGGACACAGTTGGTCAGTTAGCCAGCTCTCTCACCTTCCACCAGCTCGGGCCATTGTGAACTGTTTTGTTCCGTGACTGCTTTCACAGTGTCTGCTTGTCTGTTCCATTTGTGAGGTTAACCCTGTGTTTTATGTAAATCTTTCCATTCTCTTTTTTTTGGCTTCATTTCACTTGCTGTGATCTCAAGTCCTTAGACAAAGTGATGCTTATTCCCAACATTTACTCTGAGAGTGGTGGTTACTCCAATAGAGCTGTGTTCGGAGAGGTCACAGCCGAGGCTGCTGAGGGCGGGGGGAATTGGGGGTTTAGTCAGAGCCATTACCCAGATCCCTAGGGAGATTTTCTGATCTGTGGAGCTGTTGCTTCTCCGCACAGCCTGTCTCCCTCTCCACAGCCTTCTGGGGTTTGAAGTTTGCCTTTGAGTGATGTCCCTGTACTCACTCGGCTTCAGGAATCCAACGGGAAGCAAACACCTCAGCAGAAAAATTTTTGGTTGATTCTCTCAAGAACGATCAATAATCAGAGGCATCTCCTTCAACAGCCAGCTTCACACAACCTCATTGACCACTTTCTCCCCATCCCCTCACTTTCAGTTTCGCCCTCTCTCGCTAATGCTCCGCCCACTTATCTTCCTCGGCTTTTAATTGGACCGATGTCGGAACTCCGTGTGTCAGATCCCAGCGGATTGGGTAAAAACGTATTACAAATAGTTACAAGAGACTCATTCATAAAATAATCAAAGGGACTAAGAGAGAGGGGTAAAGAGAGAGTGCGGGAGTGGGACAGAGAGGGGATTGGGGGCGAGGGGGAAGAGAGAGGAGTGGAGGGAGAGGGTGGGATCTAGAGCCCGGGGGGTCGGGGAGTCGCCTGCAGGTACCGAGGTCTGGCTGAATGAATGAGCCGCGGAGAGTGAGCGGATCGTGGGGCCAGGCTTCGCTTTCCTCCCGTTAACTGCTCTCGGGGGAAACATGTGGAAGGGTCAGGGCTGCGGGTCGCTGGTTCTGGCTCTGGTCTGGCTGATGCTCGCTGTTTGCGGCCGGGCCCGTGAGCCCAGCGCTGCCCACAATCGGCGCCTAGCTCCTGGAAGAGGGAACCAGCGGGCATTGCCTCTAAGGTGTGACCTCAATCCACTCTCTCTGTACATTTCCAATCGGGACATTGTTTAACCTGTTAATGTTTAAATGCTCTTTAATAATGAAGCTTTGGAATTTAATTTTTAATAATGTAATAGTGAATTGTGCGATTTATGATTTAAATTAAATTTAGTGCACTTTCACGGTTAAAGCCAGAATTGGTGAGATAGACATGATTTTGGAATGCCCTCTGTAATCCTCTCCAGCTCTCTCTCTCTCTCTCTCTGAGGAGTTTATGTCGCTATTGGGTTTATTTTGAAGGAGATTACTGTTTCGCCGCTGCCGGGTTTAGATATCGAGGTTTCAGCCCCGAATCCTGCCCCTCGGTCCTCTTAGAGGATTGTGTTCTCCATAGAGCCCAACCTCAGCGGGACCTTGTGGGATGGGAATTCCTCCTCTAACCCTACCCTACCCCTCACCGGAGGCCCCGTCAACCCGCGCCAGTCACCACCCCTGGACATCCCAAAGTGCCTTACAGCCAATGAAGCGCAATCATTGTTGTAATTTCGCACAGCAAGATCCCGCAAGAAGCAAGGCGATCGCCGTGAGATCCTCTGGTCATGCAGATATACCGCACGTTAATGGGGGTAATCCCCGCCTCACCACACCCTCCCCTCGAAATAGTCAGGGATTCAAACAGCACAACAGAGGCCAGTCGGCTCATCGAGTCTGCTCTAACTCCACCTTCCAGCACATGGCCCGTAGCCTTAAATGTAATGACTTCGAGTGCTCACCCAAGTACATCGTAAAGAAGGTGGTTTCTCACCTTTATTGCCCTCCCAGGAAGAGTTCACATTTGAGTGTTGTGGGCATTTCTCTGCATCCATACACCATACTAAGGTCGATGATAGATTCACGTGATTCCAAGGGATCTTTCATATTCCCATTAGCAGGTTCCCCTCTCAAAGAGGACACCTCCGGCAGTGCGGCGCTCCCCCAGCACTGACCCTCCGGCAGTGCGGCGCTCCCCCAGAACTCTGATGGTGACTCATATGGACAAATGCTGGTAACAGATTTGAACTCAGAACCTTCCCTCTCGTGTTAAGAGCCAACCACATAACCATGCCGCACACCTGAGCCATGACTACGAAATAGAGAGAGGATTAAAATGAAGGTGACCGAGGAACGGAAGTGGAGCAGGGGCCTGAGGTAATGAGTAGAAAATTAATCGATAAGGAGACGTTTGAAGATTTAGAGCCTGGGAGTTACGTGGTTTCCTTTAATTATTTTCACATGCCTCCACTTGGGAGTTGGACATCTTCGCTTTGAATAATTTCTACTGTCATTTCAGGCAGGCCGTTCAAGGCCACAACAAATAATTAATAGCACAAATAAATTCTCACACTCACTCCGATTCTGCCCCCAATCTCCCTAAATCTGTCTCACTAATGCCCGACTCTAACTGTACTCGATGACTGGGCTATTCACTGCGCAGAGTCTCACTTTTCAAACATCTCTATTATATTTCTCCATTACTTTCTCTGCTTTCAGGAGAAAATCCCAGCTTCTCCAATCTTTCCACATTTACTGAAATCCCTTATCCCTGAGACATTCTTCTCTCTCCCTCTTCAGAGCCCTTATATCCTCCTTAACGTGCAGTGGGCAAAATCAGAGACAATCCTCCAGCTGAGATCTAAGTAGTGATTTATAGAGTTGATTTCCTAACCTTTATCAACTGTCTAAGAGCGAGTTGTCTTTTGAGCTTGAACATATGAACCATCCTGAAATAGACATTCCTGCGATATTTCACAATTGGTGCTCAGTTCAATCTGTCCCAGCAGCCTCCTCTCTACTAAACGAGCTGTTTTCAAGTCATTTCACATTTTGGTCTGATGGAGACAGTGAATTTACTACCAGTGAAATGTTAACAGCAGCCTTGTAAAATAGACCTGCGAGAGAAACCCTACCAATTCTCCAATAGGAAGAGAAAATGCTTGACAAACTCAACTGATCTGACAGGAACTGTAAAGAGAGAAACAGAGTTAGTGTTTTGAGTCCAAACAAAACTCTTCCAAAGAAGAGTCTTGTTGTCATTCAACCATGTCCTGTTCTATCACTAGATGTGGATCTCAATGTCCCTGTATTCAATGATTGGGCTACTTATTTCTACACACAGACACTCTCGAATATGGACACACAAACACAGATACACACATACACACACAGCCATGTACAGTGTGATCTCTGTTGTTCTTTGTGCCTCTGATGTATGTGTATATAGTGATAAGCCAAATCATTGAGAACAGGGAAATTGAGGTCTCCATCAGTGATGCAACACAACATGAAAGCTGAACAGCAAGTGGCTGAATCTTCATTTGAAATACAGAAAAGATTCTGGGTTTTTTTTTAAGGATAGATTTGCTATAAGAAATCAAGAACTCTTCCGTTTGTCTGCACAGTGCCCCATTCCCTTCCCTTTGTCTCTGTCCCCTCTGTACCCACCATGTCTCTATTCTATTCCTCCTATCCCTTTCTTCCCCCAACCCTTCTCTCCTGTGTCTGAAATATGAAGTTCTGTTCCTTGTGTTTATTGCAGTTTGAATGTCTGTGGCAGTGGCTGCTGCAATGGATGGGCATTGGGACCCCAGACCAGACAATGCACAAAACGTAAGTCCCATTTTCAAATACTCCATTTAAAAGCAGTGGGGATGGAAGGAGCATTTGTGTATACTGACTCATACACTGCCAGGTCCTGCAGGATTCCATATTCTTTCTTGTTCAGAAACAGATCATTCAGCCCATCTGCTCCGTGCTGGTGTGTCTGTTCCACACAAGCCTCCTCCCACTCCCCCTGCATCTTGCCCTTTCACTATTCTATTCCTTTCTGCCTTGTGTTTATCTAGATTCCCACTTAAAGGTATTGATAATATTCGTCTCAACTACTCCCTATAGAGGTGACTTCCATATTTGCACCACTCTCCGGGCAAAAAACATTTCTCCAGATGTCCAGGTTGGATTTGTTCGTGACTGTCTTACATTGACAGCCCTGAATCCTCATCTCCCCCAGAAGGGAAAACATTGCCTCCATGTCCACCCTTTCAAAACCCTGACATCATCTTAAAAACCTTTATCAGGTTAGCCTTCAGTTTCCTTCTTTCCAGTTGAAAGAGACCCAACCTGTTTGATATTTCCTGATGGTTATATCCTCTTTGTTCTGGCACTAGTCTAATAATATCTTTCTTCAGTGCCTTTGTTTTGATGTGGTGACAAAACTGTGCACTGCAGCAATTGTGGTTTCACTGAAGTTCAATGTAGGTTTAACAGAAATCCTCTGTTTTTCAATTCTATCTTTCTGGAAATTAATCCCAGTGCTTGCTTTCCTTTCTCTTGGCCCTTATTAACTTGTATCACTACTTTGAGTGATCTGTTTTCCAAGTCCCTCTGTCACTCATTTTTCAAGAAATATATGACCTTTTATTCTTCCTACCTCATTTTTATCTGTATTGAATTTGTTTACTAATATTCACTAATTTTTTCCTGTATTTTGCCGCAGTATTTCTCTGTATTAAGCATGTGCCCTAACTAAAAAGCCAAGTCTTTATTTATTCTTGGGATGTGGGTGTCACTGGCTGAATCAGAATTTATTGTTCATTCCTTGTTGCCCTTGTGAACGTGGTAGTGAGCTGCAGTCTGTAGGGGCACCCGCAATGCTGTTAGGGTGGAAACTTTGACCCAGTGACAGCAAAAGAACAGCAATATATTTTCAAGCCAGGATAGTGATTAGCTTGGAAAGGAAAATTGCAGGTGATGTCCTCTGTAAGAATATCTTAACAGTGGGCAATATCCATCCCAGTGACAATCCTTATGAAGCTTTACTTCCCAACTATCACCATTCTGAGTAATTAACTTTGTCTGTTCTCTGCACCTTCTTTCGTAACCAACTTTTACTGTACTTTGATTCCACTTGTTGTGACCTTCATTTAGAGTCTGTTATGCCATCCAATATCACTGGATCTTTTCCTGACTATGCTTGAACTCAGCCTGTGCTATCATTTGAGCTGGCCAGGTCCAAAGATTTCAAAAGTACAGCAGCCTGGGTTTCCGTCCTCGAATGGACCTAAAAGCCCTGGGGTCAGTCTGGGTGAAAACCTGTGGGCATGAAATCTGGCAGCTATAGTGGCAATCTAGACTGGCTGTCAATTTGTGCTGATCTGTATTAGTTTTGTGTACGTCAGTACAGAGATGGGAACCAAATGTGACTTTTATGTATTGTGCAACCCCAGCAGAACTGTGCTCTTTGTAGTTTCCTGTATAATTTCAAGCAATTTGTCTCTCTTCGAGCAGTGTAATACTCTTTTTATATTTTGAAGTGTTGTGCTCCATGCAGAGATCACACCAGGCACCACAGAGAACCATGAGTTTGGCGTGTATGTGTGTGAGAGAGACCTTCAGTCATTGACATTCCTTTTCAAGAGGGTCACAGTGACCAACATCTCTGTCTCCCATCTGCCCTCGAGTCTGATCCGGATGCTGACTCTCAGCAAGGACCAGCTGGTGAGGAGAGTTTTCAAACACCTCCCTCCCAGAGTGGAGCTGCTCATTATCTTTGTGATCTGCTGACTTCCTGTGTACAGCTGACACTGCGACTGAGATCCTGGCAAACAGGTGACCCAGAGGCTCGGGAATTGGGAGAAGTTGTTTTTACGGATTACAGCATACACACCCTCGGGAAACCACCAGCAGCAGCAACACCCCACCGCACCCACCCCCCTCAACCCCCCCCCACACGAACATCATCCCCACTTTGGCAATGAAAGGATCTTGAAGCTATTCAGCGGATTTTCCCTGTGTAGCACAAGGAGTGTGGTATCTGATATAAAAAGTGCTTCCCGACCCAACGTAGCTTCAACAGACTAAGCTTCAGTGTGGTTTCTGTATCTCAGCTCCAATTACACTTCTTCAGAAACAGAAAGGCAATAACATTCGGGCTTTTAGCAGATGCTGTCACCAAAGCTTATTTTGTAATTGTACAAAGACATGCCTAGCTACTGTGACCAAGCAGAAAGTAGGGGCAGTTGGTGCTTTCAGCCTGCAAATATGATTGATGGTGTTTCAGTGGCAACACCTGGTACGTTTTACAGGCTGAAAAGATGTCCAACAGGAAAAGACAAACTTCAGAGAGAGTCTGACTTGAATCAGCTAAACTTTTAAGTCAGTTTAACGGAGGAACTGCTATTCCTTTTATCTTTAAAGGATATTGTTGCTAAGCACATTCTCTAAAGACAGTTGAGGTTCGAATCCAACTAGTAGTTTTTCTTATTCATTAACAGGACATGAGTCTCACTGGCTTGGCCAGTATTTATTTCCCATCCCTAGTTGCCCTTGAGAAGGTGGTGGTGAGCTGCCTTCTTGAATCGCTGCAGTCCATATGCTGTTGGGAAACCCACAGTGTGGTTAGGGAGAGAGTTCCAGGATTTTGACCCAGTGACACTGAAGGAATGGTGATATGTACAAGTCAAGATGGTGAGCGACTTAGAGGAGAACTGTGAGTGGTGGTGTTCCCATGCATCTGCTGTTGTCCTTCTAGATTGTGGATGTTACAGGTTGGAAGATGCTATTGAGGGAGTGTTGGTGCAGTGCAGTTTGCAGATGATACCCATTGTAATGGGGGAGAAAGTGAATGTTGAAGGTGGTGGATGGGGCGTCAGTCAAATCAGTTTTTTTTGTCCTGGATGGTGAGAGTTACTTGAGTGTTGTTAGAGCTGCTCTCATCCAGGCACACCTGACATGTTCCTTGTTGAGCATTTACATGGCTCGCTGCCGCAGAAAGACTGCCACATCATCAAAGACCCATTGCACCCTGGTAATGATCTCCTACAACCTCTTCCATCAGGCAGAAGATACCGAAGCCTGACTACATGCACCAGCAGGTTCAGGAACAGCTTCTTCCCAGGTGTTATTAGACTGATGAATGGACTCTGTAGCCTAAAGTAACGCTGATCTTGCTAACGTTGATTTCACCTAGCAATATAATGTGTATGCATCTAAGTCTTTTTGATCTGTACATCTTTTGCTTACTATGATCTGCCTGTACTGCTTGTAAACAAAGCTTTTCACTGTATTTCGGTACATGTGACAATCAATCAGTGATGGTCCACAGGTATTGATAATGGGGGATTTTAGCCATATTCATGCCATTGAATATCAAAGAGAAATGAAGCTTTTTATTGTCTGGAGGTGGTCGTTGCCTGACTTGTGTGCCACAAATGCTATTTTTTAAGATTAATTCATGGGATGTGGGTTTCACTGACTGGACCACCATTTATTGCCCACCCCTAATTGCCCAGAGGGTAGTTAAGAATCCACCACACTGCTGTGGGCCTGGAGTCACATGTTTGCAAGACTAGGTGAGGCTGATGGACTTCTTTTCCAAAAGGAAATTAATTCCAATGCAGTAGCATCATTACGTGAAACAGTTCCTACTATCTCATTACGGCACAGTTTGTATTTGATCTGTAACCAGCTCACTTGCTGTAGTCACTCATATTGCTGCAGTGTTACAGCTCAGACTGACTACCCAAATCCTACTAGTTCCTCTCCTCAATACCAACCCCATAGCTTGGTGATTTTCGTGGGGAATTATGGAAGGTTTCATTTCTGGGGCTTTACCATTGGCTGATGTACCAGCTACATTTGCCCTGTAGGTGGTGGTAGAAACCCAGGAACAAGAGGAGGTCAATCCAAGCTTCGAAGTTCTGGAATTCTGGCTCCCAGTTTTTCCCACTCCCAGAAGCTCTCTCCCTGAACCGTCCCACCCTGAAACTACCAACTCCATTAACAGCCTGGAATGCTTACGTGAATATCTCCCAAATCGTCTTTCCTGAAATCTCTAAACTTGCATAACTTTCCAAAAATTCTCCTCCCTGATCATGTTTCGCTGTCCACTTCTTTATATCTCTGCCTCCCCTTTGTTGCCCTTGAGAAGCTCCAACCTGACTGATAAGCTTCAGGTCACTTGTCCAAGCGTCTCTTCGTGACACTTAATATCTGACTCGCATCTCTGAAGCTGCTTTTGACTTTTTAACTATCCTGAAAGCAGTTATTTAAATGCAAGTTGTTGTTGTAAAATATTTGAATTGAATCTGTTCTTGAACATCAACGTCAAGGCCTTCCAAACAAAGAACACTGTGGGGTTAGAGACAGAGTAAAGCTTCCTCTACACTGTCTCCATCAAATGCTCCCAGGACAGGAACAACATGGGTTAGAGACAGACTATTGGAGTTTTTATTTTAGTAAGCCAGTCCTGTAGCTCAGTGTAAATTTTAGTTGTTTTCTGTACCAAACTAATATAACAACAGGCATTGATGATCTCTTTACAATGTACAATCCCATGGTGCTGCCTGATGATTTGTTTATCTGTAGCTAACATCCCAGACTTATTCTTCCTGTCTATTAGTCAAGGCTTTTTATACAACAGGTACCGAAGATTTTGGTGAAGGCTAGGTTTAAACCCAGAGTCCAGAAGTGACAGACAACATTCAACACAGTCAGCTAACCCCATCATTTTATTTATCAAATCAAAATGATTATTTGAGTTGCTGTACTTGTGTCAGACTGAAGGATTTGTACATTAAATTTGTTGCTTTTTATATGAAGATATATGAAGATCTCTGGGTGTAAAAACCAAAATAACTGCAAATGCTGTAAATCAGGAACAAAAACAAAGTTGCTGGAAAAGCTCAGCAGGTCTGGCAGCATCTGTGAAGAAAAATCAGAGTTAGTGTTTCGAATCTGGTGACCCATCCTCAGAAGGCCATTTTTTCTGAGAAAGGTCCCAACCCGAAACATCAACTTGCCTGCTCCTCTGGTGCTGCCTGGCCTGCTGTGTTCCTCCAGCTCCACACTGTGTTAACCCTTCCTCGGAACCCTGTCTACCCCAAAACGTTAACCTGATTTTTCTTCACAGATGCTGCCAGACCTGCAGACCTCTGGGCATGTCTGGTATTAAACTTTTTAACTAACCCCAAATCTAGAGGTCAGAACTGGGTCACATGCTGGTTTTTCAGTGGAAAGTTAGGATATCGAATCCTTAGCTGTGAATTGGAAGTGACAACAGTTGGTGAGGGAGTTGCTCATTGTATTGTGAGTCAGTGCCATTCCTACTCCTTGCTGCAGGGTCACTGTGGTTACGGGGCTGGCAGGATGTGTTCTCTCCTTCCCAGCTATGTCCCAGATATCTTGTCAAATTTCGCTGCTGTCTATCTTCCCAGGTACTGCATGAAATAGAGACAGTCTCTGTTTCCGCAGATGCTACGTTGAATAGAGATGGATTATGACAGAATTTCAGACTTTCCCTTCACTGAGCTGTGTCTTGATTGGTTATGTTCTGGTCACTTTGCAGCTATCTGCTTCCCACGCTGTCAGAATGGTGGATTTTGCCAACAGCCTCAGACCTGTTTCTGTAAGCCTGGCTTTACTGGCACACGATGTGAAATAGTGACTGACCTTCAGCTCCCAACCAATCCCACAACAGTTTCACCCAAGGCACAGCCTGTGCCAGTTTTGTCAATGGGACGCATTAGTAAGAAGCAAAAGAGGGAGAGAGCAGGAGGGAAGAAAGCATCGAGCACTCGCTACATTGGCCGAAAGAAGTCTACTGTCCGATGGCAACCACTCACGTAAGTACCAAAGGAGCCTTATCAACACGGGGAAGGCTGGTGAAATGAGTAACTACATCTAACAGACAACACTGTCCTCCAATTACTGTTCCTCCATTGGTTTGGACAGGAGAACCTGATTGGGCAGTGGTCAAACACAGGAACTAACAGAAATGGTTGATGAGTTGAATCAACGATTCATCCACGGCTGTATCTGTGGATTAATTGGGGAGAGAGGCACAGCCATCTTCAGTGCTGGTTCTTACAGCCCATCCTTATAAGGGTTACATAGAATGGATTTTAGATGTTGCTGTCATCATTGATGATTGGTGTGAGGTAAAGGCCGATGTGACCGCATCCCAACTCAATGGCTTTATGAGAACTTGATATTCTCATTGAGGTTAGGAATCAAGTTGGACATATGTCCTCCAGTCTGCAATCTGAGTAACTGTTCTCACTATTGTAATTTTGCTTGGGGGAGTCCCTGTCAGAAATCCTGAAATGAACATCAATTATGACTTTACTCTGAAAGAAACAGTGAGCCTCAACCATGGAGCTGAGGTTGAGAAAGGTGACTGAAAGTCTGGTTGAATGGATGTGTTTTAAGGTGATTTCTAAAAGTGGGGTAAGAAGATTTGAAGGAGTTTGAGGAGTGAGTTGTGGGGTGAAGGGATGAGGGACAGAAGATCCGCAAAACTCGGGTAGGTAGTAGAGATTGTTCCATCGTCTTTCTCTAACCAATATGAAGATGAGCTGTTGTAGCCCAGTGTTTTCAGCTTCAGACCATTGGGCGTTTAGTGAGCTAAGGAAAACAATGGAGGAATCAAACCTGGACAGAAACATGCAGAAGGTCTTACTTGTAAGGGCCTGAGAACACTGTTCGTGACTAATATGACATGGAACTTGAAACTCAGCTCTATTTCTTTGATAAATTAGTGAGTAGTTAGTTAATGAAGGAGCTAGCTAAAACAAATTCTTGAACAATAGCAGAGCCAAACTGACTCATCTGACTTAGATCAACAGTGCCGAGTGCAGCCAGCATTAAGTTCAACTGCCACAGAGTAGAAGTCATGCACATTTGGTGGAGCATGCATGTTTGGTGAAGTGGCAGAAGGAGGCCCACCTTTGTTCTTCCTTTCTTGACCATTTTGGAGTGCACCCATTCACCTGCTTCACTCAGCAACTGGCAGTCAGTGTGCGCTCAGTTTGAGAAAGTGAAAAGTGAGTGAATCATAGGAATTGGGTGACATTAGATGTTAACGTATGGCTTTCAGTTGTAAGAGGTAATAGCATTTAATCGATATAGTAAAATTGTGGTAAAATTAACAATTTAACATGACTGATTAAATTAAGAAGTTACATTTGACTGATTAGATAAGGCAATGGGGAACCAGGTGATGTGTTGCAGCTGAGGAATGTGGGAGCTTCTGGCTCTGAAAATGATCCAAGGCAAACACCTCTCTAGTAAAAGTGTAAAACTACAAGGATTCCAACTCAATCATTCGATTAGAAGATGAACTGAAGATCTTGTGATGTTGTCAGACAGGAGGAAGAGATACCAAAAATCAGAGAATCCCTCTACTGTGTACAGTGATACTTTGTTCTAAAGACAGTCACACTCCTTAGCAGTGGGCCATCCCATTCCACCTGTAGTAAGGGTCAGAAACATGTGATCATGAGTGAGGCAGGTAAGGGCTAGGAGGGTACTGTATTGTAGGAGCCAATGCCTTGATCACTTTCAGAGGCAGAGGCTCCCACCTTCCTGCGTAATGATCTAACATGTTTCAGGTGCTCAACTGTGTGGACAAAAGCAAGGCCTGTAGGGAGGAGGAGCACAATGACCAGGGCAGTTTGGTTCAGGATGCCTTTAAAGTTGGGGGGAGTAAAAAGGAATGCAGTGGTTATAGGGGCTAGTATAATAAAGGGAATAGACACGATTCTCTAGACCCAACAGCGTGAGTCCAGGCGGCTGTGTTGTCTACTTGGTGCCAGAGTTTAGGATATCTGCTCAAGGCAGCGTGGAATTTGGAGTGACAGGGGCAAGATGCAGTTGTTGTGGTCAACGTAGCTGCCAGTGACATTGGCAGGACAAGGGAGGAGGTTCTGCTTAGATATTGTTATTAGTGAAGTTAATACACTGCTCAAGGACTGGTTTAGGAGAAATGTGTTTCAGTTAATGGACCACTGGAGCCAGTATTGGGCAAATAGGGTTTATGCTGATAGGGCAGACTTCACCGCAATTGTGCTGATATCAGTTTTCTGGCAACCTCTATAACCAGGGAAGTGGAGAAGATTTTAAACTAAACAATGGGAGTGAGGATAAAGCTTGGGTAGATGTAGCAAATCCAGGGGTAGAGTCAAGTTAGTGGCAGGAAGGAGCAGAAAGAATAAATTTCAGAATGCACCAACAGTCAAGATTAGATGTTACAAAGATAACAAAAAAGCAAAATTAAACAGTCTGTATCTGAATGTGTGGAACGTTCATAGAAAGTAAAAAAATTGATTGTGCACAATGAAGTCAATAAATATGATGTAATAGCTATTATAGAGATATAGCTGCAGGATGATGAGGATTAGGTCCTGAATATTCAACAGTACATGACCCTCATAAAAGAGTAGGATGCTGTGTGAAGGTGGAGGGGTAGTACTGTCAATCAAAAATGGCACTAGAAAGAAGTTACTAGTGGGAGTGCTCTACAGGTCCTCCAACAATAACCACACTGGGACAAAGTATATGAGAAACATTGAGTATTTGTGGGAAAGGGACAACAATGATGACATGATTTTAATCTACGTAAAAACTGGAAAAATAAGCTTGGCAGGAGAAGTCTGGGTGAAGAGTTCTTAGAATGCTTTCGAGATGGTAGCAGAACATGCTGCTCTTTGAGGTTCAAAAAGCTATGTTAGTTTCAAATTGGGGTCCGTTGTGATGAGCCCTGAGCTTCATCTGGAAGAGATATTGTGATAAGTGCAGAGATTTTTGTCTTCATTTCATTTATTACCAAATTAACATTCAAACAGGAACTATCACTCGTCAGGATTCAGGATGAATCTCTACAGGTTCTCTGGGGAGTAGCAGAAACAATTTTACTCACCTCTGCTGAAAAAGCAAAAAAGTCTGATATAAGGCAGTCATCAGCATCAAGCAGTGAGAGAACACTATTATCTGACACAGGAGAAAAACAAAGTAACAAAAGTGAATTTAGTTTAAAGATATATAAATATTTAAAATTGTACTTACAAAGCTTTATTTACAAAGTTAATATTACATTGCAATAGATTACAGAATCGATTCTTAAAAAAAAATTTTAGTCCCTTTCTTCTGTAACTGTCCCTTTTTGTTTCCTTGATGGGAACTGTCCTACATTGGATGCTCTGTACTGGCACTGTAGAATCCTGGGCCTCCAGCCGGACAATGCTGGAGAAAATATTTTCTGTGATTTCTTCTGAAATACACAATTCCAGAAGCTGGTTTTTAGAGTGTTGTTCTTTGCAGGGTCATGGATTTTGATATTTCCATCACCTGTCCCTGGGACCTCTGGGGTGTTGGGTGCTGGTGCTTTGGACTGTTGTACACACGAATATGAATTAGGAGCAGAAGTTGCCTTGTGAGAGAAAGAAGATCATTGCTCATTTGATTACTCCGTATTTCCATCCACCTCACCATCCTCCAATAACCTTTTGACTCAGATTGCTCCCTTGTTTATCAAGAATCTATCTCTGAAATAAATAGAGAGAAGGAGGGTAGGGCTGGGGATGGTAGTAAGTGAGTGCAGGTGGGGATTGGTCAGTGAGGTAGGAGGCAGATAGGTGGGAGAGAAGATGGACAGGTTGTGTCAGGTCAAGGAGGTGGGGATGAGAGGGAGGGTTGGTCATGGAATGAGGCCGAGGGTGGGGAGATTTTGAAACTGGTAAAGTCCACATTGAGACCATTGGGTTGTAGGTTCCCAAGGCGGAATGAGGTGCTGCTCCTCCAGTTTCCGGGTGGCGTCATTGTGACACTTGGTGAGGTTTCCCAAGATGGAATAACCTGTCCGTCTTCTCTCCCACCTATCTGCTCCTCCCACCTCACTGATCAATCCCGACCACTGCCTACCTGCACTCACCTATCACCATCCCACCTACCTTGCCCAGCTCCACCCCTCCTCTCTTTATTTATTTCCTAGCTCCCTTCCCCCTCCCCTATTTCTGAAGAAGGGTCCTGACCCGAAACATCAGCTTTCCTGCTCCTCTGATGCTGCCTGGCCTGCTGTGTTCCTCCAGCTCCACACTGTGTTATCTCTGACTCCAGCATCGGCAGTTCTTACTATCTCTGAGCAATCTCTCTCTGCTATTTAAAAAAAAATGTTCAAGGTCTTTTCTTCCACTGCCTTTTGAGAAAGCTCCAAAGACTGTCAAGCCCCTGTAACAAGGATGTTTCTCCTTATCTCTGTCTTAAATGGACAGCCCCTTACTTGTAAACAGTGACTCCTGGTTCCAGATTCTCCCACAAGATGAAATATTTCTTCCCCACCTCCCCACCATCCCCCACCACCCCCCCCCCGTCCCTCTGCTGAGATGCCTTGGGAGTCCAATTTTTTCTCATAAGAAAACCATCTGTTTCAAGGGGTTAGTCTATTAACCCTTCTCTGAACTGCCTCCAATGTATTATCATCCCTCTTTAAAAGAGGTGACCAATACAATATTCGAAATATGATGGCATCAGTACCACGTATAACTCCCTACTTTTGTACTCCATTCCCTTACAAAAATTAAATTGCCTAATTATTTACTACATCAGCAAACAAATCTTCTGCCATTCATGCACAAGGACACCCAGATCCCTTTGATCTCAGAGTTTGCAACCTCTCACCATTTAAGTAATATGCTTCTCTTATTCTTTCTGCCAAAGTAGGCAATTTCACACTTTCCTACATTATATACTATTTGTCAGATCTTTTTCCACTCACTTAACCTGTCTATATCTCTTTGTAGCTTCCTTATATCCTCTTCACAGCTTACTTTCCTGCTTATCTTTGTAT